TACAACAAAACAGTAGAGAGAGCACATTAGTCAGTAATTATTTGGCTTGCTTGCCACACAGACAGAGATGACTGCAACACCAGGCTAATAAAGTCAAGTTGATAAACATCTATTAAGCACATAATGTATACCAGGCATTGTGCTAAGTGCTGAGAAGAAAGGCCAAAACCAAAAAATAGTCCTTGCTATCGGGAAGCTCACAGTCTAATGGGGGGGGGGGAACATGCAAACAACTATGTATAAACAAGATATATACTAGATAAACTGGAGATAATCTCAGAGTGAAGGCACTAAAATTAAGGATTACTGCAAAAGGTGGGATTTAAGCTGAGACTTGAAGAAAGTCAGGAGGTAGGGAGGAGGAGCAAGAGAATTCCAGGGGACAACTAGTAAAAATGCCTGGAGTTAGGAGATGGTGTGTAGTATGTGAAGAATAGCAGGAGGCTGGTGTTACTGGATCAGTTAGTACGTGGAGGGAGTAAGTTTATAACAAGACTGGAAAGAGAAAAAGGGGCCAGGTTTTGAAAGGCTTTATAAGCCAAACAGAGAGTTTTATATTTAATACTGGGGTTAAAAGGGAGCCTCTGGAGTTTATAGGAGGGTGATAAGGTCAGACCTATGCTTTAGGAAAATCGTTTTGACAGCTGAATGGAGGATGGAATAGACTGGAGAGAGACTTGAAGCAGGGAAGGTAGAAATAACAGGACTTGGCAACTGATGGGATATGGGGAGTGAGAGAGAATGAGATGTTGAGGATGATGCTTAGGTTTTAGAGCCTGGGTGAGGAGAATGGTGCTACCCTTCACAATAAATTGATAACTAAGGAAGGGAAGATTTAAGGGGAAAGATAAGTTGAATTTCAGATGTCCAATAGGCAGTTGGAGATGCAAGACTGGAAGTCAGCAGAGAGGTTAGAACTGAACAAATACAACTGAGGATTATTTCTACAGAGATGATAATTAAAAACATGGGAACTGATAAGATCAGCAAGTGAAAAAAGTACAGAGGGAGAAGAGAAGCAAGTCCAGCATGGAAACTTTGGTAAAACCTATGGTTAGCAGGCTCAACCTGGATGGAAGATTTAGCAAGGGAAACCAAAAGAGGTCAGATAGGTAGGAGGAGAAATAGCAGAGATCAGTGTTATGAAAACCTAGAGAAAAGAAAGGTGCATATCAAGGAAAAGAAGGAGATCATCAGTGTCAAGGCTGCAGAGGTAAAAAATAATGAGGACTGGAGGGAAAGTCATTAGATCTGGCAATTAAGAAATCATTAAAAAAAAAAAAGAAATCATTGATAATTCTGGGGAGCAGGTTTAGCTGAATGATGAGGTCAGAAACCATACTGTAGAGGGCTAAGAGAGCGAGAGGAAAGGAAGTGGAGCTTCTGCTTGTAGATGGCCTTTTCAAGGAGCTCGGCTATGAAACAGAGAAGAGATATAGGGCCACTTCTTCATGTGAGACAGAGTGATGGAGGAGATAGTAGTGCGATGTATCTGAATGATTTGAGATGAGGAAAGGAGAAGAAGGAACTTTTGGCAAATGGCCTCGATTTTTTCAGTGAGATATAAGGTTAGGATACAAAACTCATCTGGAAAATCTTATGAATAAGGATGATGAATAGTTATGAACAGTATTATCTCATAAAGCAGAGACAAAATAAGTCTAAAGAAAGCCTGGCAAAATATACAACTGTGCAGTCATCCTAAGAGAACTCAAGGATGAAAACAGCAGGTGAACTACAAAGAGAAGAACATCTGAAAAGATTTTCCAAAATTATTACAATAAACGGTTTTCTCCATCAAGGATGGTGGAACCACTACACTTATGTCCTAATATCACAGTCTCTAAGGGGCCTACAGAAGTAGAATTGGTACTAAAGAACAAAGATGGGGAAAGCAGCTGGCTTGGATCGAGTATATATGGACAAGAGCCACGGTGGAGGTGATACAATCGTGAGGCAATGAGGGACTGATTCACAAGGTTGGCTAAAGGAGGATACCAAAAGGCTGGGGGAAAAAAACCAACAAAAACTCACACCTAATTGATTCCTCAAAAAGTGACTGAGAATACATCAACAGACCTATGACAGTTCTTGTCCAACATCAGACAATATCGATGGACAATGAGCTGGACCCAAGGTTGAAAAGGAGGATTGGTTGGATTGCTTTCAGGAAAATGCAAAGCACTTTTACTGACCCCCTCCTCCACCCAAGCTCCCCATGACAACAAAGGTCTATCTTTTCAATCCAAGTACAGTCTATAAAAACTGGGGTCCTTAGACTGGGTCCCAAGGGCAGGGAGGTTTCCTCTATCAGCTTGAATCCCCAATCTAGTATGTTCTCCCCAATGGCAATAGCTATTACAGTTAGTTTTTCCCCTAGGAAATTTCCTTTAGATATTAGGGCTCCACGATAATTTAAACAATTAACATCAAATTTGCTTTTAGAAAGGGATACTTACCGAGAAGATATAGCAGGAATAGAAGGATAAACCATTTTCCCTGAGCACCTCAGAGCGTAGTCCTATACCACCTCAGTCCCTAGTGTTTAGGGGGCACCAGCCTAAAGCAATTGCTACATACCATTTATTTTGCTAAGTTCCCTTCTAAATGATCTACAGCAAATGGACAGAGTCGATCCCTTGCTTGTAGGACCCCACTCAGTGCTTCTGTTACTGGATCACCCACTGCTTGTCTGGGCTCTGTAGATCATTTTTTAAAAAACAGTTATCGAAAAGATTTATTTAAAATTTCACAGATTCCAGGTTAATAATCCCTGCTTTAGAGACATATTATCTGCTAAGTTCTTTTTAAAATTGTATTTTTAGTTTTCAACATTCACTTTTATAAGATTTTGAGTTAAATATTTTCCCCCTCCCTAAGAATGCAATTTGATATAGACCATATATGTACAATCATATTAAACATATTTCCACATTAGTCATGTTGTGAAAGAAGAATCAGAACAAAAGGGGAAAACCACAAGAAAGAAAAAAAAAAGAGAGGATATAGTCCTCCTCAATCTGCATTCAGACTCCATAGTTCTTTCTCTGGATGTGGACAGCATTTTCCATCATGAGTCCTTTGAAATCGTCTTAGATGAGGGGTGGGGAATCTGTGGCCTTCAGGCCACATGTGGCCCTCTAGGTCCTCAAGATTCTTTAGGGCTGTGTTGGAGTTTTGTTAGCCTCAACCATGGACTCCTGCCACTGGACCTCTGTTCCTGAAGCTTTTAAAATCTTACCAGGTTGTTCTACCTTCAATATTCCTTCACCATACAGCATGAAAGTAAAGACAATGGAAGAAATATGGCTTCATGTGCACCCAGTAAGGAAAGCAGACGGCTGGTACTGCCTCTTTCTGAAACAGCAGGTCCACGTGCTTCATACCGGCTCTGGATGAGAGGGGGCCAATGGCCCTAGAGGCCCATAACAACTTCTCTCTGGACACCAGGGAAGGAAAAAGGACTGAGTTGCTCTCTCAGTAGTCTTTTGTTTACAGTCCCAGTTCTGGTTCAGCAGCCAATCAAAAGTCCATGTCTTTACCATGTGTTTAGGGAACTGGAAATAATTAGAATAACTGTGCCATGCATGTTCTAATGTGGAGAGCAGGGCCCTCCATTACTCATCTTCACACGCTTTCCAAGGCAGGTGTGGCAGCAGGCAGAGGGCACTGCTGTGCTTTGAGGACAGAGCTCCCCACTAGTGCCCCCCTTTCCTCACTGCTTCTGAAGAACTCAAGATGAGCATCACACAGAAGACAATGGAAAGGCTTGTGGTCAGAGTGAGCTGGCTGCAACATAGAACCAACTCTGAAAAACAGGGGTAAACGCTTATCATCAGAGAAATATATAACAAAGAGAAGATGAACTGTTCACTAGTAGCTTCTCTAAGCTGGGAGAAAGCAAGGAAGGCCTTCAACTCATTGGGTGGGCTCCTTGTACATACTCTTGGGAGGACTAAGATGAGAATGGCACATGACAGGCAGGCATAGGATGGGTTGGGATATACACTGTTGGAGTCATTTGAGTACCTTTGAGAAGTCTGGGGCTGTTAACAAAGACAAAATGAACCAGTCCCTCATGAAACTTGCATTCTTGCATGTAGCAAGCTTAATTAATGCCCGTTGAATTGAGATCCCTTCCCTTTTCTGTGTCTCAGTTTCCTTCCTGGTCAAATGAGGTGGCTGGTCTTTAGGCTCCTTTCCAGCCATCCTGCCCCCATGGCCTCAGGAAAGACTAGAGGATAAAGCTTTCAAAATCTCTCTCTAGCTATTCTCCCTCTATTTCCTCTCTCTTTTTCCTCCTCTCTTCCTCCCTCCCTTTCTCTCCTCTGTTCTTTCCCTATTTATTCTCTAATCTCTTTTCTCTCCCTATATTCCCTTCTCTCTCCCCCACTATCTCTTCTCTATTCTCTCCCCTTCTTTCCTCTTATCTCCACTCTTTTTCCTCTCTCTATTCCCTTCTCTCTCTCCCTCCTTTGGTTTCCTCTATTCTTGTTCCTGTTTTCTTTTCTTCTCCAGTTCCTCTTCTCTCTCCCTTCTTACCATTTCCTCTCTATTATCTCTGCTCCTCTCTCTCTTCATTTCCTGTCTCCTCTCTCTCCCCTTCTTCTCATCTCTCCTCTCCCTTCCTATTTCCTCTCTATTTTCTCTCCCTTTTCTCTTTATCTCTGCTCTCTCTATTCTCTCCCCTCCATTTCCTCTCTATTCTCCTCTCCTCCATTCCCTCCTCCCTCTCTTCTGTCCCTCCATTTTTTCTCCTTTCTTCTCTGCTCCCTCCTCTCCATCTCCTCCTCACCTTTCTCCCTATCTTTTCCTCCATTTCTTCTCTATTCTGTCTTCTCTCTCCATTTCCTTTCTTCTCTCCCCTTCTTCCTCCTCTCTCCTCCTCACTTCCCTCTTCTCTCTCCCTCCTTTTATTTCCTCTCTATTCTCTCCCTCCATTTCCTTTCTCTATCTTTCACTCCCTCTATTCTCTCCTCTCTCGCTCCCTCGATTTCCTCTCTACCCTTTTTTGCCTCCCTCCCCAGCCCGTTTCTCGCGCTGCCTCCTCCCCCACTCGCCCGGGACGCCAGTGCGCAGGCGCAGTGGCGGCAGCGGCGCCCCCTGGCGGCTGAGGGGCGGGGGCGCGGCGGGGCCGCCTCCCTCGCTCGCTCCCTCCCCGGCTCGCTCCCTGCCTCCTTCCTCGCGCCTCGGCCCAACATGGCGATGCACAACAAGGCGGCGCCGCCGCAGATCCCGGACACCCGGCGGGAATTGGCCGAGCTGGTGAAGCGCAAGCAGGAGCTGGCGGTGAGGGGGCTGGAGGGAGAGGGAAGGAGGGAGCCCGGGTCTCCCCCCCCCGCCCAGCTCGGGTGCTTCTCGGGGCGGGGGTCCGGCCCGGCCCGGCTTCCTGTTGGCCGTTATGCCGGCGGCAGCGGCGCGGGCCCTGGGGCACTCTGATCACCCGGCGCGCGGCGCCCTTTCTCCGTTTCCGCCTCGCGCGCCCCGCGGCCGGGGGGCCCCAGCCTCATTCCCCGGGGCCCAGACGCGTTCGCGCTCGCGCTCGCGCCCGCGCCCGCCTCCGCGACTCCGCGCGCCCGCGCGCCCCTGGTGACTGACGGGCACGAGGCGCGGGGGCGGGGTCGGGCTGGGCGCGGGCTGGGCGGGGCTAAAGAGAGGGATGGGAGGGGCGGAATGGGGAAGGCGTCTGGTACCGGAGCGGTGGGGACGGGGCACATAGGGGAAACCGAGTGGGGTCGTAGGACCATAGATTTAGAGCTGGAAGGGATCTCAGAAGGCCTTCTAGTCACTTCTTCATTTTACAGTTGGGGAAACTGAGGCCTGGGGAGAGTCTGTGAGGAAGCACATGGGGACAGAGTAAGGGGGCCCTCTGAGGAGGTGGTGGGGGCAAAGGGGATGGGACAGTTGGGGAATTGGGAGTTTAGGTGGCAAGGTGGGGGTGGGGAACATCGACTTTGCTCTCCAAATTGTACCTCTGTTGGGAGGGGGAGGAGGTAGATATGAGAAAGATTTGGCATTGGGAGGTATTTGGGTGAAGGGAAACGATTGTGTGGGAGGGATATTAGGGTTGGGGGAATTTATGGTTGTTTGGTAAGAGGAGAATAGAGGCAAAGAGTAGTGACTCTTGAAGAGAATCTTGCAAAGGGTTGGAATCCTGGGGCATCTTCACCTGGAGCAGCAGATGTTGGTTACCATAGCAACAAGGAATCTGTGCACAGCCTGGTGACATTTTCTAGCCCTTACTAATAGAGAAGGGACCCTGACCCTTAAAGGCTCTCTAAGCCTTATGGATGGAAGGCCCTTCCAAATCTCATGCTACTCTTACACCTTTTACCCATGTGAGCAAAATTCCTTTGTGGCTATCAGCCAGCCTGCTCCTCTAGGTGTTAAAAGCAGTGTTATTGTACTCAGAAACAGTGAAGGGTTTGATTTACCCTGAATCCTAACTTTGCCTGCCAAAGCCAAAGTGAAGATTCTGTAATAGTTTGGATATAATCATACATTACCCACTCTATGGAGGATGAGAACTATTTGGAAATGTACTGAAGAAGTGGTATCAGCCGTGAATTATTGTGAGACAAGAGCCTCAGTTTTAAAAGTTGACTAAATCTCCGTTTGGTCAGACTGAATATTCCACCTTGAAAGGTAGTAGCATCCCTGTGCTTTTTTTTGTGTGTGTCCACCAGGAGACGCTGGCAAACTTGGAGAGGCAGATCTATGCTTTTGAAGGGAGCTACCTGGAAGATACCCAGATGTATGGCAATATTATTCGGGGCTGGGACCGCTATCTGACAAATCAAAAGTGAGTCAGAAAGGCTTCTGTTTTATAGCTGATATTTTGGGTAGAATGTTACCAATTTCTGTTTTTAAGAGTGTGTCTCTAATAGCAGTTTCTAGTTTGTTTTAATGTCTAGCACCATTTGTCATTATATATGGAGCCATATAACTTAGCCATTTCCAGGTAGCAAATCCACCTTAAGTGACTGCTCAACAATTCTATGTGAGTTTGGCATCTGGGATTTTTTTGTTTTACTGCAGTGATCTGTTCCCAGGAGTCAGTCCAGTTTCTCTCCTAAGCCTATTACTGTGCTTTATGCTGTCGAGTGATGGCAAGAATCCTGAATTTATAGTCAGAGGCCTTCTGTTTGGATTCCTGCTTTGTTACTTAACTTGTTTTTTAAAGTGATTGCCGAAAGTCACATCTCTGGACCTTCCATGTCACTGTCTGTGAAATGAGAAGGTTGGTAATATATGATGAATTCTAAGGTCCCTTCTAGCTTTAAAACTTATGATTCAATTTGTAGTTGATATCCAATCACTGGAGAGAATGACTTCTTCATTTGCTGTTCCCAAAACTCTTCTGAAAACTGTCAGAAAAAGAATCTTGAAATTTAGTGGGTAGAAGCAGCAACTCATCAAACTCATCTTTTGTACTCTTCTGTGTAGTATACTGTTGCTTCTGAGTTTTAACTCCTAGTGTTTTCTGCTTTTAAAGTAATGGTGCTTATTTAGAAATCATAGCATTTCCCAGATGGAAGAGAATTTTAAGAATAAGTAGACTGATCTGTACATTTTAGACATAAGGAAACTGAGGCCCAAACAGATGAAGAGCTGTCACAGAATCTAAGAGTCAGAAAAGTGGCCGTCAAGTCCAAATGGTAGCTGGGGACTTAGTGGTAGTTAGTGAAATGACCGGCCTTTGGAGTAGGAGCCCTGGAGTTGGAATGAGAGGGCCAAGAGTCCTCTCTTACTTGTCGGTTCTTGGGCAGGTCACTTACTTGAGCTTCAATTTTCTGTGTTTTATGATGAGGATTGAAATCTTTGTACTACCTTCCTCACAGGGTGGTGGTGATGAAAATTCTTTAGTAAACTTTCAAACTAGTATTTTAACCCACAAGTGCAGACTACCCTAGTTCATTTTTTCATTCCTTTTCAGTAGTGTTTGTCACCCTTGGGGACCAGAGTAGAAGGTAATTTTGATGTTGCATTTTGGAATCCTTGAGGATAGACAGTGCAATAGAAATACATCGTGAAATGGATGCCTATATGAGAGCTTTAGCTCTGTGGTAATGTTATCCTCCCACCCCCTCACCTCACCCTGGTCATTAGGTGCCCTGAGATCATCCTCCCAGATTCTCCAGGTAATTTGGATAATTTCTTTTGGCGTTTCCGAGTGGTAAAGTGAGGATGAGAGCTGTGGAAGAGTTGTGAACAGTGTTTAAATCAGCTTTTCAAGTGACAGCTCAATCCCAAGGTCAAGTAAACAACAAGGTGTGAAAAGAGTTAATTTACAGTTAACTATTTGATCAAATGTTACAGTGGACTTAAAAGAACTTTGTAAAGCTTTATATACGCTCAGCTGTGAATATTAACTCCCTCAGTATTCATCTTTCTGTTCCTATTTTACTTTTTCTATCCCATCTTATATGCCCTATCCTTCTCTTTGTCTCTCTCCCTCTCTCCTATCCGTTCATACATAGTGTCTATGTATATACCCTTTCCTTTGCTCATGTCTCCCTTCAGTCCTTCTCTACTTCTTTAAGCTTTTTTTCTTGAATTTTGTGTCTTTTGTTCTTGACCTTTGTATATATTTTGTTTTCTTCCTTGTTCTTTATATCTCTCCTCTGACTGTTGAGTCTTGTTTTTTTTAATTGTCTCTTGCTTTTGTGGATATCTCCTTTATTGTGGTTTATCTCTCCTCTTTTACTTTGATGTAGACCTTCCTCTTGGTATGGGGAAGAGAGAGAGAGAGAGAGTGAGTGTGTTTGTGTTTGTGTGTTTCTCTCTGGTTGTCTCCTTGGTGAAGGTGTCTTTTTCCTTCCTCTTAGTGTGTGTGCTTTTGTGCATGCATGTGTGTCAGTCTTTTTCTATTCCTTTTGTTTTGTGTCTGTCTCCTTTTCTTTCCTCTTGGTGTCTTTCTCTTTTTTTTCTCCCTTTCTTCCTCTTGTTTGGTTGATGTATTTGTCTCTGCCTTCCTTCCTTTTCATTTGTGGGTGTCTGTTTCTGTCTTTCTCCCTTTTTCTTGGTGTGTGCATCTGTCTCCCTCTTACTCTTGGTTTGGATGTATGTCTCTGTCCTCCTTGGTTTGTTTTTGTCTCCTTTCCTTTCTTCTTAGGGTGTATGTGTGTGTCTGTCTCTGTCTACTGTGTGTTTTGTGTGTGTGTGTGTATGTATGTGTGTAAACATGAATGCATGTGATTTCCTCTTGGGGAGTGTCTTTTCTTTTTTCTCGGGGTATGTGCGTCTCTTTCTCTCTCTTGGTGTGTTTAATTGCCTATCCTCTTCCCAGGTTGTGAGAAACACTGAAGCATTCTTAAAGGGAAAAGAGGTGAGAGTTGAGTGGAGGAAAGGGGAATCTGAGTCGGAGGAGGGGAATCTTGACCCTTGCCGAGTAGGTGAGAGAGTAGAAGAGTGTTACACAGAGGACTACAGGAAGGAAAGGGGCAGCCATAGACTTAAAGCTTAAAAATACAGATTTGAAGCTTTCCCTGAAGAGGAGGGATTTGGATCCTCTGAGGAAGAAGCTGCAGCTTGTCCTGTCAAGTTTAACTCGGTGGTGCCACAGAAGTTATTAGGTGAGAGATCATCCCAATAAGGGTTAGAGGAAGAAGCAAGGAGCAGCGTGGTTGGTGATTCCTGCCTCTAGGTACTGAGGCCACTAATTGATGACTGTGTTATAGGAGCAAAGAGGTTTGTTGGCTTTCCAACAAACGTACCCAAAACAAAGCAGACAGTGTCCCAAGGTTTATCAAAACAGATGGCGACTACCTGTTTAGGGCAGTTCAGTTGAGCACAAAAGATACTGCTAGAAGTAACCTAGACAGTATTGCTAAAGAAAGCAAGTCATGGGCAAGAAACTAAAGACCATAGGAGCACAAGTTGTAGTTTCCTCATTCTTGTCCATTGAAGGCAAGGGAAGGAAAAGAGGGAAGTTGATCTTGGAAATGGAGGACTAAGAAGACAGTGTATGAGAAAGGGATTTGGACTTCTGGTTCATGGACAGCTTTCAGTGTCTTCTCCTGGCTCTCCTTGTTCCTTACTTGCCAGACTTTTCCATGTCCCAGCACCTCTCTTCTCTAATTGGTGAGTTCTTTCCAGAACTTTCATTTTGAGGAAGTGCCCAAGCCAGTCATACTCATTCACTCCTTTCTCAGCTCCGCTCCTGACTTCCCGCCCTGTTGCCACTTTTATATGCTTTCTTCCCCCATTAGAATGTGAGCTTCTTGCCTTTCGGGGACTGATCTGAGTTTCTTTTTGCTTGTATTTGTGTCCTTAGTGCTTAGTATAGTGCCTGGCACATAGTGAGAGCTTAAACCCTTGTTGACTTGGCTTAAAATATAGGGATAACAGATTTCTGACCAGGGATTGAGTACAGCTAACAAAGGCTGGTGAGAATGTCTTTGCCAGGTGTTTTGCAAATGTGATCAAAATGGCTCTGAGCTAAAAAGATTTTTTGTTGTTTCATTCTTCAGTCGTGTCAGCTCTTCATGACCCATTTGGGGTTTTCTTGGCAGAGATACTGGAGTAGTTCGCATTTTCTTCTCCACCTCATTTGATAAATGAGGAAGCTGAGACAAATAGGGTTAACTGACTTGCCCAGGGTGATACAGCTAATAAGTTTCTGAGGCCAGATTTGAGCTCACAAGGAGTCTTTGGAACTCCAGGCCCAGTGCTCTATCCACTGGGAAAAAAAAAACTGCCTAACAAGTTGGTTATCTAGAGAGTTCCTATAGGACTTCTGGGTCACATGAGCCACAGGATAGAATACTAGATAGATCCTTTCTCCAGACCTCTACAAAATAGGAATTTTGCATAAGAGAGAAAACAGTTTCAGCTGTCTCGTGGTCTAGGACACCAAGAACCTTGACCAGGTAGCAGTTCAATGAACTAGCTGAAAAGAAGGCTAATCTCTAGTTCATATCATCACTCAGCACTCCCTTCCTCACTGTCCATTTGGAAACTCTGGCAGCAGGACTGCACAAGGTGACCGACCACACTTGCCACAGAACTCGGTTCTGCTCCCTTACCATTTTTCTTTTAGTGCAAAGGAAAATCAAAAGCCAGAAGCTTGCTCAGCGAGAACAGCAATGGCGGTGCTCTGTGCTGTGAGAACGGAGGAACCGAGATAACTGGAGAAGTACACGTCTACGGGGCTGTGGCGCTGCGCTGAACCTGAGGAAGAGCACAGAGGACAATGAGATGTAAAGGGCCCGACGTGAGAGGAAGCTGGTGTAGCTTGGAAAGCCAGCACTCAGGAAAGCTGCTCTCAAAAGGGAGGCTAGAGGAATTTAATAAGAAACATAGCAGACTTCTGGGTCACATGGCCAACAAGATGGAGGGCTTCATGACCTCTCAGAGCTCTCCAAAGGAACTATTAGGCACCAGATATTCAATCAGTTTTGGCAGTCTTCATGGGCCAAGCTATCAAGAACTCAAACAAGGTAAATACCTGATGAACTGACAGCAGAGAAGTCTCATCCCTAGCCCCTGACTTGCCCACACAGTACTCCCTTCCCCACCACCCACCACGTTCCTAGAAGCAGGTCTGTATAAGTCACTTACGTGAAACAGAACTCAACTTTCCTTCAACATACACCTTTACCCTCTCTTCCCAGTGCCTCAGAGATCCAGATGGTAAACATTTGCAAAGAGTACCAGTATTCTGGGCTGCAGCAGAACTTGAACTAAACTTGGGAACAGAGGGAGCTGGGGTTGCATATGTGGGTGGTGAGGGGCTGTGTGGCTCTTCACTGAACCTTAGGGATAGAGTCCAGCGTCCAGCTGGAGCCAGTTCTGTTCCCC